TGGCTGTTGTTGTACTTAATGACCTGTCCATACTGAACTTCATCAATTTTTATTTCTATTTTAAAGATCATATTGAACTTTAGTCTTGCCCTTCAATATACTAGTAGTGGCTTCAACGTTCAGATCTGCTGCAAGTCTAAACATGCCCTTTCTGTTTGTTCATCCCTGATTTGGGGGAAAACATTGACCAGAATTGAATCTGAGAAAGCTTTCTGTAGATCCTCACTTGGTGCATCCCCTTGATGATGAGTTTTTGATGCTCACCCTCCAGCTGTGACCGGATGCCTGGGGACGGGTATCGGGGTATCCACTTTGGCACGCACCCTAAACTCAAACCTCGTGAAATTTATAGGGCTAAATGTGGCCAAGTACCCCCATCTGTTTTATCTAAACCCGAATAAACCTGAGGCTCTTTGGTGCCTGAAAAATTATGTTTATTGCCAGTTCAGAATGGGAGTTACTGAAACCGCCTGAGGGCAAAAACACTGCCTTCTTTGGGAATTGGAAACAACCTGAGAGCCACCGTCTCATGAGATTTCCAGCTCATACAAACGAGCTTCTGTGTGGGTAGGAAGCGCTGCGGTAAATGGATCTGAAGATGAGAAGGGGCAGAAAACTTTTGAACCTGAAGTGTGAACTAAAGCTCCTTCAAGTCAATGGAAAGTCTCTGACTGGTGGCTCGTGGCCATGTGGAGGCCTGTTAAAAAAGCAGAGCAAGAAAAAATATACTCTTGAAGCAAAAAGATTGTTAAGATAGGAGAGGAAAATAATTTCGGTAGAAACTTCAAGGGCTGTGGAAAGATATCCTTCCAAAGGCTACTTGGAAATGTTTAGAGAAAGCCCTTTCCAGTTAAGCAATGTTGACAACAGGGGCCCTGAAAGGCGGAGAGGAGGTGGAACAGAACAGCAATAAAACCAAAACAGAAATACAGCAAATTTAGAAAACTTAAACCAAGTGAACTGCTAGCTTTCTGAAACTCCAGGTGGTGTGTGCCAGCCTGCCCACGTGCTCAGGCTTTTGTTTTGAGAATTAACTTTCTCCTGTCTGGGTGGTGAGTGCAGCACCAGCACCACGGGGGAGCTGCCAGCTGTCCTCGGGGCAGCAGCAGAGGGCTGGGGCTGAGGGAGCTGGGTTTGCTCTGGGTGTCTTTGGGACTCAGTGCCATGCAGTTCCTTTCCCATTCTCCCCTTTACGGGTGCATTTTGCTCCCATTCAGGTAAAGGTGCCATGATGTTGCTGGTTTGGTGCAGCTTCTCCTGCGCTTTCCTCAAGCAGACAAATGCTGTGCCTTGCCTCGTCTTCCTAATTAGGAACGATACTGCCGAGTGCCTTTCGCGGGGCTGCTTATGTATGTGTGTTTATATGAAAGTTTGAGGGCAGAATTTGTCTATGCTGTAACATTTTATCAGCGGCAGGATAGCAATCAGAGGAGAATTAGTCCCTGGCTGCTCTTTGGTTTGTAGTGCCTGTAGCTCGACTGCTTGTTACAATAATGAGAAATGCAAGTAAGCAACATCACATCAGCACTCGCAGTCCCACTTTCTATTGCTGTCATCAAAGGGTTTAGGAAAGTTTGCATTCATAGTAGTTTTTTACAATGCACATATGCATTTGCACAATATTGTCTGGGAAATCCTGCAGTGTAGATGGCAGCTTACGTGTAAGGCATGATTTGGGTTTGGGCACTTGGTCCAGTAGTCAAGGCCAGGTGAGAACCAGGACTGGGAGCAGAAGGTCGAGGTAAGTCCAGATGACCCATGAAAAAAAGTGTAACTGGGAGCTGATCGTAGCCAGAAAGCTGAAGAAAAGTGGAGTTGTAACTCCTGATGTATGGAGCTGGTGTGGATTTTAACAAGTAAACTGGGATTGTCCTGACTATCAAAAAGCACTCAGAGCAAGCACACTTAGAGGCTTGTAGGTACTTACACTTTGCAGACAATTCTCATTCATCTCTGCCTTTTTTTAGCTTGGGGAAGTGGAAGCTTTGTACTGGCTAAAAATAGTGGTACTAACATGTACTTTTATTGCATTGCAGGAACAGAATTACTGCTTCTAGCCTGCGTTTCCAGCTGCTGAAGAGTTAGTGTTGAAATCTAGACGTAAAATTCCATGGTGATTTCCTAGTGTTGGATTTCGTGAGGTTCTCTGGAGTTTTACCAGCTGTGCAATAGGCTGGGTAAAATTGATAGTGGTAAAATTAGGAAGAAATCTGTTGCTAGAGAGACTCTTGGAAAGGCATCAATAGGAGCCCCAGCAACACATCAAGGGGTTATAAATGGCCTCTATTGTGGCTGAAAATAAAATATTTACAGACCTTGAAAGTGAAAATCACAAAAAGGTTTGATAGGATTAAGAATTTCACCAACTGAAAAGTACATTCTACAGCCTAAGAGTAACATTTTGCTTAAAAAGGCAGGGATATTTTACTAATCCTTTTTGCTGCTTTTTGCTTTCTATTGTCCCTCCAGCCTGGAATAAAATAAAGCAAGGGATTATCACAAAATCTGTACAGCTTTTATAGCTCATGTGAAGCTTGAAGAAATGCATAAATAGGAGATCCCAGGCAAGCTTTGCATCTGAATGTCAACTTTCATTTCTGGTGAATGCACAAATTTAATATTTTGCTTAAGATGAAACACAACAATATCTTCAAGGATTTGGTTTTGTTACTTGTATTACCTAACTGTATGTTAGATTTTGTCCTACACTGTTTCAGAAGAACACGTTGGTAAACAGATTATAAACCCTGCTCTCTGCACCAGAGCGATCTCCCGTACCAGTGTACTGGATGGCATTTTCCCTGGACCTTTCTTATTTCTATTTTTTTTTTCCCCCTGCTCACTGGTAGGTTGCCCATTGTACAGAGTTTCAGATCACATGCACTTCTATGTTGTTCTCCAGGAATCTCCTTTTTTTCTTTCCCAAGCCTGCTGCCTGACAGCCCTTCCAGTATCTGCGCTCTTGAAACAAGCCCTTGGAGAAGTTTACTGGAGAACGGAGTGCTGAGTCTGGGAAAAGCCTTCGGTCTATTAATTGATGTCTGCTTCTTATTCCAGTCTTATGCACAGGTTTTCTTGTCAACTTATTAAGGTTGTGCTTCTTATCATTTATTACAATGACCAAGAAGACATTGATTATAGTTAAAAACCAAACTCTAGAGCACGATAGAAGGAGAAAGCTTTTAAAGCCATCAGATTTCTTTAAGAAAGCAAAGTTGGTCAGAGTCATCATCTGGGTTCTGCTGGATTTATTTATTTCCCCTCATTAATTTTTAAAGTTTGGTTGCAAAGAAATATATATCCTCTTTGGAACTGTGTAACTATCGGAATGATTATTTAACACAGGATTCCCAGAGAGACTGGGTTTTGAAACACACGATGTTGTAGCTATTACAAATTAATGAATGTTCTCTTAAATATTTCTGTTTTATATCTTTGCTTCCTTTAAGCCTGCCAGTATAGGAGAAAAGAAAGCTTAATAAAAATAAGCAAAACTGCTTTTTGGTTTGCTGGGAGGGATTGATTTCTGTGGACAATTAAAGAGCTCTTTCAGCAGTGCTGGGAAACCTGTGAACAGATCTCCTGAGATCTCAGGCCCCATGGTCTGAAACTGAATTTGTGAGAGTTGTCACAGTCCTGCTGAAATGTCCAGAGCTTTACAGATTTAGGACAACTGTTCATCTGTTACCCTAGAATTGTTTTGTTTTGTTTTGTTTTGTTTTTAATTTATTTTTTATTTTTTAATAAACTAGGACATTATGCTACAGGAATGTCTTCACTGAGGCTTCATCTGAGCTCTGAGGCTTAGTGGAAACGCTGCTGATCCTTAGGACAGGCAAGGCCCAGTCCCTGAGCGACAGGGATGAGCAGTATCTTCGGGCAAAGATGGGGAGAGGAGCCTGTGAAGAGGAGCCTGTGGTGGCATTTGGCTGCTTCTTTCTGCCAGCCTGGTGCCCGGGTGAGCAACCTTCAGCCCTGCTCATACCAAAGCCAGCACGAGCATGGCTGGGGGCTGTGTAAGCCCAGAGCTGTCTGAGAGCATCTTGCAGCAGCAACTGCTATTGCTGATGCTGGCAATAAGCCTGGGGCTAGATCAGTGCACCAGCGTGTTAATAAAAGGCAGAGAGATAAAAAATAAAAAAGAAATACAAGAGGACTGGATGTGTTTGGTTTGTAATCTGCTAGGTGTCTATTTTTTGCAGTTTGGAAATTGCTCGACTCTTCCCATCCGGAGTTAGATGCCCGTTGGTCCCCTTGGATCCCATGCTCAGGGAACACCCAGGTCACCACACCGGTTATAAAGCCACATTTCTAAAATTTTATCTCGCCACACGACTTCTGCTCAAGTTCTTCCATGTTGCAATCACCTCACTTGATAGTTCAGAAATGATGTTTCTGCTAAAAAAAATAAATAAATAAAAATAGAACCCAATATTTCTTTGGTGTTAAGAGCATGAAAGATATTTATTTCACTTTTATGTATTTAGTTGTGTTTCAGTGCAGGTCAAAGGCAGGTCCAAAACCACACCGCCTGCCCTACCACGCACCCCGAGCGATGCCTTGAGATCAGCTGTCACTCAGGGAAGGCGTAGAAAGCCTTATTACTAAAGAAGTAAGAGAGATAAATATAGAGTTTAGTACACTCAAACTACAAATTTTAAAAGTTTCCATTGTTTACTTATCTAATTAAGAATCTATCTCCATATAGGCACATGAACGGTAGGTACAAATATATCTAGATGTCTATCTTTGTTCCACTGTACGTTTGCCAGTAGGTCTCTATACATAGAAACATAAAACGGCGTGTATATCCTGCTGTCTTTTGAAACTTACAGAAAATTACCAACAGTTTCTTTTCTCTAGTTTGCTCAAATGCTTGTGGTTAGATATTCTGAAAGTATATAAAAAAAAAAAAAAAGAGAGAGAGAAAAAAAAAAAGAAAAGATTTAGACACTTTGAAAATCAGTTGCTTGTTTAAAAATGCTTTTTTTTTTTTTTTTTTTCCTAATAAGCCAACACTTTATTTTGATTCTTGGCCTCTGCTTGTCCTTTTTGATGAGATGAAATCGGGTAATATTCTGAAAAAGCTAAAAAGCTTCACTCGTCTGGAGTCACGTAAGGTGTGTGGCAGCCGATGGCTGGAATTTGAGAGCTGTTTGGTGGGATTTAGCCAGCAGAGCTGGATCGCGTGTTTGTTACCTGGAAAGTCTGGCTATAATAAAAGAAGATTTTGCTCAGAGCACAGAGCCCCATTGCATCTTATTAACTGTCTCAAAATCCAACGTATAAAAGAAGCTAAAAGGAAAGTTGAAAAGAAAAATTTAAATAAGTTTAAGAGGATTATTCCTTGTAATTTTTTTATTCAAATAAGAATCAAAACATTTGGTAACAGCACTTAAGTGTGGAGAGTTAAATAAAAAGGGAAAATTCCTTAATGAAATCATACTTAATGAATATAATGAGCACAAATCATATTTAATAATTGAATTAATCTGGTTTTCTTATCTCTTGTTTAAATTTGACTCTCTTCCCAATTGTCCATTAATACTCAAAACCTACAAAGAGTGTAAACACACCTGGCCTTATTATTTGCTAAAGCAAGGCTGAATCAATGGGGAGCACTTGGAATGTAATAGCTCACATCAGTACTTGAAGTCTCAAAGGAACAAAGACCTGTAATGTGTTGCTTTAAACAGTTTCACTTTGAAAGTTATTCAAAAGTTGTCCACAAATTAGTATTCAGTTAAAGGAAACCCTTCACACTTGTAAATTTATGATGCTGTATTTGAACAACCAGCATTCCCTTTTTTATTTTTTTCCCTACCGTCATGCGATACTGAACTAATTCCATATTATTTCCAGTTATGAATCTACTTGGTTTTCTTACTGTTGATACTGTTAGCTTTCATCTTATGCAGTTTTTAATTATGCAAGTCCATTTCTAATGACATTTGTATGAATTACTACAAAAAAAGTTTAATGTTTAATGACTTAATTCTGATATCCTCAGAAAAATGAGAGGGTTTCAGTGAAAGGAGGATCCCTCCTGCTTTCTTTTGCAATTAGAGCCCTGCTTCAGGAAAATCCTAAGCACAGGCATTAAGTTAACCACACACTTAGGTCCCAGAGATTTGAGGGGAATTTCAAATCAGAACGCTGGGAACATGTTGCTCATGTTGCATTTTTGTGCCAGCTTCACCAGAACAGGCAATTTAAACCCAGCTGGCAAAATTTGTTGTTTTGAGGCGTAAATAAATTTTCACTAAGTTTACAAAAATTAATATAGAAAACTGTGAATTTATCTTAAGTATTTCCAGCTCAGGAATGAAGACAAACACAACACCCAAGGGGTTTAAGGGGATAATTATTTGCTGATTTTCTTTCTCTAACCAGGTGCTCTTTGAGGGGTTGAGCATCAGGTGTCTAAGGAACTTGCAGCGTTTGTTTTTTTTTTTTCACTTCAAACTTTTCAGTTACTAAAGTAGTTCAAGAAAATCTTTTTCAAGCTAAGTTAATTTATGAGTGGCCCAGATCTGAGAGCCCAATTACTTAGCTGCAACTGGCTAGCCCTGTTGTGGGGAATTGTTCTTTTCCTTGATTGAATTGTTTTAATTTTTAATTTGCTTCCCCTGCTTCCACTGCAACATGCAAGATGAACATTTGCTTTCTGTAAGCACTCGCTCTAGTGGAAGAGGCTTGCACACATCAGCTGGAAAAATAAATCTTAAACAAAATCCAGGAGAATAGGCAGAATCAGCCGGTAAGAGGCTTGTACAGCACTGCCTCTGCTGAGTCTCTAGCTCAAACCATCCCTGCCTTTTTGTCTGCTGCCTGTAAGGATGGGAAATGTTTAGCTCTGGGGGACCACAGGTATTTAAAAGAAGCTCTCTGGCACTGTCTCATCAGCTGAGGGTTTGAGGTAGCTCTAACACCGATGGCTTTGAAGGCACAGTGCTGGGTGGTGCAGAGCACTTTCCCCCACCAGCTGGGGATCACTTAGCAGGACACAGCCCAGGAGAGACGTTCAGCTCATCTGGTGCTGCCTTGGCCTGGTGGTTTCATGGGAATGGGTAAAGCTGCTGATGTCCTCCAAGGAGAGCATTCCTCCTGGAGGATCACGTCTCCATCGCATGAATGTACAGAGCTGCCTCTGGTATGGGGAAAGTGCTTTGTGTGGACTCAGTTTGGGCTGTGAGAGGTGATGGCATGGCCAAGGGGTCCGTGGTTTGGAGGAGAGTTTTGCCTCCTGTTAGCAACTCACAGCAGCTCTAAGTTACTCACTTACGAAGTTGCAATGTGAAGCTATGAACCAGCTATATCCCCAGATATGATTTTGATTTAGCAGAGCTCTGGGAGGTCTTTTCTTAGTAGTTTTCAAAAAAGATGGTTTGCATTAAGAGTAAAGAAAATAGAGGGTTAGCTTCATGTATACAAAGGTACCGTAATACAGCGTTAGGGGTGGCCAAGAGGAGATGGCATCGTAAGCGTGAGAGCAGATGCAGGAGTTTGGGATCTGCTCATCACAGGGAAGGGACCAAGCAGTGCCCTCTGGGCTTTTCCTTCCCTTCTCCAAGGGCTGGAGGGCGAGCTGCTGAGCTCTGCGTGAGCTGCTGAGTCCCCTGGCGAGGCTTCATCCACTGTTAGCAGCACAGAGATGCTGAGGGGTCGGTCCTCAAGCCTGGCAGAAGCAGTTGTGAAGGACAGAGGGGTTCAGAGGCACTTTGGGCTGATAACTGAGATACTTTTATAAGTTATAAAGTTATCAGTTATAGCTGATAACTGATAACTTTTGGCAGAGCACTTTGGAGAGCCTGCTACAAACCACGTGCTTCTCGCTGGCACACCTCAAAGCTGGGCTGAGCATCAGGGCTGCTCCTGCTCTCAGCTCCTGGGCTCTGCCTGCAGTGCTCCCACTGCATCTCTCCCTTTTGCTGCCAAACGGGCTGAAACACGGGCTCCCTGCTGGCTCTTAGGGCAGCAGCTCAGAGCTGATGCTGCTGTGCCAGCATCGTCCCCTGTCTGCCCGGCGGTGGCACCAGCACGGGGCAGCTGGAGCAAAGCTGGGATGGTTTAAGCATTTTCTCCAGCATCTTGTTTCTTTTGCAATAGATGTTTGGGTAGCTCTGTTAGTGAAAATCGTAACGAGGGAAAGTTTTAATTTGAACAGTCAGACAGGCACGCACGCACAAAAGAAGAATGATCTGGAAAAAAATCCCCCAAACTCCTTTCGCCTGCCATGCAGCGTGAAATGGAAATAAAGGTGGCTGCTGCCTGTACTCGACAACGCTGCGACATGTGATATTTTTGGAGGTATCTCGGGAGCATCTACCACATTTTACAGCATGTGAGGCATATCATCTGGAGCCGTTTTGATCTCCTCTAACCTGTTCACAAATGCATGTATTTCATAACAGGCCCTGCGCGACGATAAGCATCTCCGAGTTTCTTCTGCGCGGTATCTGCAAACAATTCAAAGCTGTTCCACACAAACAAATGTGAGAACCCCCTGACCACAGACTGCCTTTAGAGCAGACCAAGATTTGATGTTACTCATATCTTCCAGTACCTGTCAGAGTTCAAACAGGAAACCTGGTTTTTCCTCTAATGTCAACAACTTTTTTTTTTTTTTTTTTCTGAACAGGCGCTCGGCAGGGCTCACGCTCGAGCGGTGGAAGTCCTGTATTTCTTCAGGACAAACAAGTACTTGCTCTGGTACGTCATTGGTGACATTAACAAGAGCTGAATATGTGGTTTTCAGTGATCCTGTGGGTGCTTCTACAGAAACGGACATACTGGCTTTGAACAATCACACAAAAAAGGAATTCATTCATACAGGATATAGGTAACATACAGCCGAAGACTTGCCTGCAGTAGCAATTTGCTTAGGAAAGGTCAGAAAAAATTGGGTGCTCGTTCTGGTATCGCCGCATTTTGTGCTTATGCAGTAACACTTTTTATTACTTCAGCATGTTTGTCATTTAGCTGATACCCTGCTTGCCAGAGCCTCAGCAATGTCACATGAAAAGTTTAAACAATAATATTCATTTTTACTCAAATCTTATCTGAGCATTCCAGCTATTAATTGGCCTGTCCCCCAAAAGCATGGAAGCACCTTACATCCAGGCCAGAGGTTTGGCCGCAGACACTCACGTGTGTTTTGGCTCTGTTAGGAGTGGAAATTAGGAATTATGGCTAACATATGTCCCCCACAAGCAGTACCCATCATTTATTTTTCATAACGCTAATCAATAAATGCAGTTCAGTCTGAAATTCTCAGCGCTTCCCATTCCAGGACTGGAAATGCTTTAATAACATTTAACTTAACCTCCCCGTGAGTGTGGGAAGTGGAAGTATATAATGAAGAATAATTCTTGACGTCGACTAATGTTTGTGACAGAAAACACTGCCTCTATCAAGAAATGGGCTAGTTTTGAGGATCATTTTTCTCTTTTGATTTATGCTTGACAGATGCAAAAACCATCTCGAAAGCAGCTGCATTGGGAAAAGAACACACAGGCATTTCCATGGCTTTCATCTTGCTTTGTTTTATGTGATTATAAAACATGCTTTTGTGGCATGCATAATCAAGGGGCAGAACATCTGGTAAAGTCTTGTTACAGCAAAATGTCCATAGAGTTAAATATTATAGCTGTCTTTTTTTTTTTTTTTTAACAGCTCACAGCTGGATGATATTATGACTAGTAATAATACTGTGAGTGAGACATGCTGAAATGATAGTGACAGCCTCCCAAGCTGCACAGAGAGGCTGATTCATTGCGAGGTCGTGGAGTTTTTTGGGGTGTGCTGGGGCGTGCGAGGGTGGGGAGGTGGCTGCAGGTGCTCTGCACAGCGTCGGGCAAGGGGCCTTTGCGAGCTGCCCTCCGGACCACGCAGGCCCTTCCAGTAACACACTTTGTTTGCTCTTTATTTCTGTTTCCAGCTAATTTTCTGCCCAAATGGTTGTCTGATTCTACTGCATTTTTTTTCCAGTACCTGTTTCAGGAGCTGAGCTCGTTATTTAAAACTTGATGTTATGCATTCTTCTGGAAAGTTGTGCTGTTGTGCTGTTTGCACAACTCAGGGGTGGCGTTTGCCGTGCTCACATCGCTCAGCTGCAGACCTGGAAAGATCCTCACGGTTCAGCCCATCTCCGCCTGAAATTCCTGCAGACAGGTGGCAAGAAGAAAGGGATTATTTGCATTCTTTAAAAGAAACCTTTCCTTTCTAATTTTCTTTCTAACTCTTAATATTATGTAAAACCTCAGGGGGAAAAAAATAATTCAAGATATAGGCTAGTTATTTGGGAGCCTGATTCAGAAAAGCATCTCAACATGTACCGAGGGTACACAGCTAAATCAAGCACATGCTGTAAGATCCTGCTGAATAAGTACCTGTGATTCACATCAGCAGCTCGTAGCAGAAATGAGCATTACAGCATTTACAAGCTTTTAGCTATTTGCCTCCTGCTGCAGAGAACATCTGCATGCGTCTGCTCGGCTGGTGCCCGCGTTATCCGGAGGAACCAAACCAAGCTCCTGCCGTCCTTCCTGGACACCTGGGGCAGTGCCCGAGCTGCGAGCTGAGGCTGGCTGGGGTCCCTCGCTGCAGGGCGATGTGACACGGTGTGACACCGGGTGGCCTGGCCCTGGGAACCGTCGGGAGCTGGTGACGAGGGATTAGCTCCTGGTGCTCACAGTCCCAACAGGCACCCCAGGGCTTGGGGCGTACCACGGCGTTCGGAGGCATCTTCATGAAAGTGCTGCTGATCCACGCTTATTCAGGGGCGTGATAAGTTGCAATTAGGTAAATATAAGTAATTAGAGCCAACTGCTGTTTTAGGGCAAACTGAGCTTTACCCAGTAATTGGAGGCATTATTATTTTCAGTCTGCTTACAGTGGTGTGTGCTTTATGGTTGTGAGAGCTTACTGGTAACTGAATGATAGGTTACTGTGCTAGCCTGTACATCAGGGAGACAACAGATAATTTTTTTTATGCCTTTTCATAAGTTCTGTTACACACAGAAGAGCTGCTCACCCTGTAATATTTAGAAAATAAAAGTGTTTGCCTTGGTGGAAAGCGGCGCACACATTAGGAGCACATGCTCCTGTAACCCAGCATCCACAGCAGTTGTGATGAACACATGCATTTGGATTTATGGAGAGTTTTTAGCTGGTTGAATGGGCCTACGGAGAACACAGTGTCACACCCCAAAGAGCAGAGCAGCTTGCTGACCCCCTGAGATGTGCCTTGGGTGCACCTCAAAGCTTTGAACTCCACCAAATTCAGCTGCGGGCAAAGCTCTGGGGGTTCAGTTTCAAACCACGAGTTTTTATACAATTTTTTTTTTTTTTTCTCACATCATTGCAAGCTTAAATTGCCAGGGCACAGCCTGACACCCTGCCTGGGTGCTGGCCCTATGTTTGGGTCCGGTGCTTGGGGTTATCCCCGTTACCTCCTGTTCACACAGCCCCGCACCAAGGGAGCCACAGCAGGGCTGGCCGGATCCTGGTGCTGCCTGTGTCAGCAAAGCAGCTAACGTGGGCCACAGGCTGCCAGACAGCTGGCAGTCTCGTGGACTCTGTTAGTCTGGGATGGATTTTATCTGTTTGAAGTGGAGACCTCTATACCGATATCCTCTCCTTCAGCTACCTGCAGTGTTTTGCAGCACAGAAGGCAGAGAGCAGCTGCTTGCGTTAAACCAGGTGCTCTCCAGATTCTGCTCAAGAGCAACCGCAAAGCTGGGGCTTGTGTTTTCAGGCTCCAGGGGTTTAAAAAAAAAAAAAAAAAAAAAAAAAAAAAAAAAAAAGAGACAGATCTGCTGGGGGACCCTGAGCCCCAACAGGGCCCAGAGGAGGACCCCGGCTGGTGCTGGTGTGGCAGTGGTTCATTTCCCAGGGCAGTGCTGTGAGGCTGCTTCATCGCTTCCTTCTCTGGCACTGCCTACTTGCCCTGATGTGCTGGGGGTTTCATTTTCTCAGGTTGCAGACCCTGGGTTTTGGGGCTGTGCGTGGTGCCTGCACCCCAAGCAGCGCAGGGACTGGCACAGGTGGCACATCACAGATGCCCGTGCTGGGTCTGTTGCATAGGGCTGTGTTTTTGGGAGGACGCAGAGCTGCTTTGTGTCATGTTTTCAAGGCCATGACATCAGTCTAAGATGTCAGGACGGAGCCAGGGACGGTCCTGTTATCTTCTGCTCCTACACACTCATCTGTGCAGCTCCAGCCAAGCCTGGACAGCTGGTCACAGAGTGCAAGGAGAAAAGCGATCATCTCTTGCTGCTGCGTCTGATCCTATTTCAAACACCGCAGTCATATGCTGCAGCAGCATCACTTGGGCCGGTGGCAGTTTGCTGAAAACCAGAGAGCTCCTTAATAGTCGAGATAGAAAGATAAAGCACTGCCGTGCTATTTAAAGCCGAGCCTTTACGCCCGAACGAAGTCACTCCAGTTTTGGAGCAGGGTGTTTGCCTGGAAAGCTGGGATTTACATTGCACCCCAGGGACTGAGGTGCCCTCGCACACTTTCATATGTCTCCTGCCTTCAAAGCCCTACGCCTTACCTACAGGTTCATTACTGCTGCAATTACAACGCACAGCTCGCAGGAATCGTTTTGGGATTTTTTTTTTGATAAACGGCGGTGCCGTTCGCGGAGGCGAGCGCGAGCTGGGAGCCTGCACCTCATTACGGTGCGCAGACAGAAGGCTTCGGGACGGCGCTGAGCCCTAGGAAAATGGTGATTTACAGATGGGGAGCTGAGACAAAGAGCGGGCGAGCACCTTGCCCGGGCTCCCACGGGATACTGGCAGCAGGGAGTTGCATTTCTGTCTAGTGCCCTAACCACTGAACCGTCCTGTCTCCTGCTTTCAGGCGAGAGAGTCTGAAAACGCCATTGATTAGAAAGTGCTGGTGGAGAAAGGTCGGAGCGACGAGACTGCACTGGGAGACATGCAAAAACAAACAGAAGACAATAAACAGTGTCATGTAAATTAGCTTCGTACAACTCCTTTCTGCTTTAATACTCTAAGATGCTATTTAGTACACACAGGCAAGGAAACGTCTTTTTTTTTTTAGACGCAAGATATGATTTTAACCAGATAAAAGCCCTTTAATTAGGCTGAAATTTTTGCGTACGTTTTACAGCAACGTATTTCCATGTGTGTGCCAGAAAGTTGGGGAAACGTGGAAACCATTGACAGCTTGCTGCCTTCGCTGCCGGGACAGGGCAGATTATTTTAATGGAACCTGGACAAATTCTCTGCCTGCAGAAAACATTTGTTTGGTGGTCTCTTCCCTTTGCTTTGTCATCTTCCGCTGCACATCTGTTTCAGAACGGAATAAGTGAACCCATGCTTGAGAATCAGGTTGTTTATATGATGCAACATTTAAATGATTTTTGGTTTTCGTGTGTCTGGAAAAATAATTGTCATCTTGGTAGCACGGGTTACAATAACGAAGCCCTGCTATTACTGCGGGCGAGGCTGGGCCACGCTGGGAAGCGCAAACAGAGGCAACAACACTCAGCGGAGCTGGTGTGGGGACGAGGCTTTTCCTACAGCTGCTGAAGGGAATTTGGGAGCCCAGCACAGTGCAAACAACGGAGATCATTAGGGGGAAAAGGGGAACCCTGCAAAGAGCCACACGGCGGTGGCACCAGGTGTGAATCCCCCCCTGCAGCCCCCCAGCCCCGGCTGTGCGAGGATTTCCAGCAATGCCCATCCCGGCCGTGCACAACCTCGGTTGAGCCATCTGTAAATCTGTAAAAACATTTTCCCCTCGAGTTTTTAGAGCTGTTTTCGTGGAGATTGCTGCAAGCTCAGGTGCTAGCTCTGGCACTGAGACAATGCTGTTAGGCGTGTGAGCTGCAGACCTGTGGCAGTCTGGGGGCAATTCAGAGAACTCTGCCCAGGAAACCACAATTTGGGATCTGCGCCTGTGGCGTTGCCTCCCAGCTCTCAGCCTGAGAGCCCTGCGGTGCGGCGCTGCTTGAAACCAAATGGAGAACACAAAAGAAATGTTAGAGCAGAGAAAACCTCCCGAGGCCTGGTGGTGAGCACACAAAACAATCTAGGTTGATGTTCTTTTCTTTCCGAATTTCTTTGCCGTCTTTGTTTCCACGTTGAGAGCGGGTGGTGGCACGCAAGCAGAGTTTTGGTGTCCACTTTTCACAAAAAAAGCTTGCACAGCCAGGATGAAGCCAGAGCATCATTTGAGAGGGGTGATTTTTAATTTGCGCCTCCTAACACAACACTTTTCTATAGCCAGGTTTTCTGCTGCTGGGTCCATGGTCCTACAACATTCGGAGCCGAGGACACCCTTCAGCCCTTCAGCCCATCCTCCTCTTCCTCCTGTGCCCATGGGACCCACGTGTGTGTGGCCCAAGGTTTGGGTGGGCTTGGAAGAGGCAAAATCTTGGCTTTCCTGTGAGAGGTCTTGCTGGCTTGGGTAAGAGAAGAGCTGTGCAAATTAATGCAATGTATAATAAAAGTGAAAACTGGCAGAATAGGGTGTTTCACACTCACTGTAAAACCGAAACCTGATTTTTTTTTTTTTTTTTTGTGAAAAAAATTCACTGATATATTTTTTTTCCATTCAGAAATGAGTTATTTTCAAATAAAGAGATGAGGCTTTGTTTAGAAATGAGTAATAATTGTCCCATCTTTAAGCAGAGGGGATTTGCAATGGGAATATCTCAGTTTGCACCACGACGTGTGTGCATGCTTCTATGTGAAAACTCTGTTTTCTGAGCTTGAAAAACAGAAAACCAAAGCTGGGCAGTGGTGTTTGCAGAAACACCCAAAAGACAGTTGTGAAGATGCTTCACAGATGCACTTCTCAGCTGTTTACAAAGGCAGAGAAGAAATCCTTTTCTTTCTACATACTCTCATATATTTTTTTTCATATATATATATATATATATATATATATATATTTTTTTTTTTTTTGTAGCACTTCAAGCCCCTTATCGGAATGCAGAAATGCTCCAATGCTACCAGAGCACCAATGCACACCCTTGGCCACTCTGCTGCTGGTAACCGAGCGTGCTTTGCAGCAGGGCCCCACCGGGAGGATTCGCTCTTGCTTGGTGAGGTAATTCCTGTGATTCCTGTGCCCACACAATTGGATTTATAGGAGATTTTGGAGAAAGGAGAAAGTTTCTGCTGGCTTACGGAGGAGCTAGACAAGGCCCATAGTCAGACAGTAATTATGCTTTGGTAGTCTTCCTATTTTTCAGAGTTACCCAGAGGATTTTTATCTTTCTGTCTTTGAAAGAATATTATCTTTCCTATATTCTAGCAAATCTCATCACAGTTTCTGCAAGTTGTCCTTTCCACATTTCCCTTCCTTCCATCACGGCTGCAGCTTTATTTGGCAGAAGAGAACACGGTGGTTTTGCTCTCTGCTCTGCTGTAATTATGGCAATCACTCTAGTTTTGCCCAGTGTTACACTGCAGCAAGCTGGGAGCTAGCACAAGTCTAACAAACAGCAGGTCACAACATGTGGATGGATTTTTGAAGAATCTGGGTATTGTAGTTTTCTTTCAAGCTGGGCTCCTCAGGTTTTAGATGGGGTTTTGGATGAGAGAACTACGGTAAGGAGATGTAAGCCAAATGTAAGCAAGCCATTATTTTATCCATTGTTATTTGATCAGAGATGATGATGATTATTAAATGCCAATAAAAAGTCTCTCCTCTGCTACTAACTTACTGACAAACTTGCATTTTCACTAAAGCATGATTTAGGTGATTAATGTAAAATGAAAGATGAATCCAGTGTCTTACATCGTGTCGCAATTGTAGTTGAAACAGGGAAGTACACGGTCTCATTTTCACACACCTCTGACTTCATTAAAGTGGCCCACGAGCCACTTCACAAGCATAACACAAGCATTCATACAACAAATAAACCAATTACTACCCAATTCCCAGACAGTGTCCTATTCAGTATCCACTGTACAACACAATTATCAGCACTGGTGCATACAGACTTTATGGATCATTTCTAACCACCCATTTTTACCGAATTCCTGAATTTCACATGATTTTTTGGACTGCAAGAGCATTGCTGAAGTGTTATGTAAAGTGCTGTAAAAAAATAGCTTAAAATGTAAATGTGCATTGGATGGGCAGGGCCCTGAGCCTGGGGACCAGGGGGTGACATGGCCCACAGGAGGCCATCAGCTTTGTTCAGGAGGGGCTGCTGAATCCTACAGCCCACGTTATGCTCAGTGGTGGACATCAGAGCCACAGGGGAGCAGTCGCAATTAAATTATGATAAATGGAGTTTATTGATGTCTCATGTGGGCCACACGGAGATAACCCGGCTCAGGCTCACACTGAGCAGGTGAATTTTCTCACTCGTTCATTTATCACTAAATCACCGCCTCCTGCTGCTCCTCACCTTAGCATGGGTTAAATTAAAGCTTTACAGCAGGAGATACTGACTATTTATCCCCAAAAGACTGTTTCAGCTCACAGTGGCCTTGTGCTGGAGAGGATTCTCTCCTGGGTGGTTGAATTTCTGTGGGCACTGTCACCATCTAGTGGCATTTTGCTACTGGTTTGCAGGGGCAGCGTTGTTCTGCCCCGTGGCTTGCCCCCATGATCATTCCTTTCTCCCAGTTATCAGCCCTGGTTTTTACTAATTTGCAAGTTAAGAGCCTGCAGGTGTGGGCGCAGCTTTATCTGGCTGATTTTTTCCCACCATGTCCCTCTTAGGGAGTAGCTCTGCCTGGTTGAGGGAGGAAAATGTCCATGGTAAGGGATCTGTGGCTGTTTCTGGAGGGTTCTGCTGAAAGTCTTTGGTTTCAGCTCTTTGGGTGCAGAGGAAAAACTTGTGGGAGAGTTTTGTGCTTGCAAGCACTCAGGCAATTGCGAAGTGGAAATGCAGCGAGTTCTGTCTGACCAACAGGATCTCTGGCAATAACCCCGTGCGGATGGGTGTGTGTGTTAATTGTGCAGCCGTGATTATGTTACTTAGTGGTTTGCTTCAGCTCATGAAGGAAATGTATGGTGAAGGCACCCCCTGCTCAGCTCCCTGTGCCATCCCCTCTGGCATGAAGCACTTGCATCTCATGATCAAAGCCCAGCTCTTATTTTCCTGTCTAATGCTCAAAAATTCAAGGGGAGTGAATCCTGTGCATTTATCCTGGGTTTCTACCCCCTTGCTGTGTCCTCGGCAGCCCTGGGTGGGTTTTGGTGATGTGTTCGTGGTCCATCCCGTGCAGAACTTGGGATGATGTTGCCTGTGTGCAGCAGTGCCCCGATTTTACAGGGGCTGTTTCCACACAGGAAAGCAAGCGATGGAGCTGTAAACGCAAGCAGTAATTTCCCCTCGCCAGGGCTGGGAAGGGACAATGGGCAGGACAGGGTTTGTGGCACCCTGCCTGGTATTGTGGGTTTCTCAGAAATGATTTTCAGCACTGCAGATCCCACTCGCTTTACATAATAATGCAACTTCTAGGCGTTTCTTCCCCATGTGCAGCTTTGGTTTGTATTTGCTTTGGTTGTGAGTCACTGGTGGCCCACAGCGTGTGGAATACGATGGCCAGCAATTCTGCAAAGGCTGCTCCTCGCCTCGCCAGCCCAGCCCTCGGTGCCCCACGGACACCATGCAAAGTGCCAGGCCACCCAGCTGCTTGCAGGGTCGTGCTTAAGGGAGGAAGGAGTCATAAAAGTAGTGAGAGGGAAAAGGTAAAATCGGACTTTCCAGCACAGTCCCTGTTAGCTCACGGGGCAGCCTCAGCTCCTGCAGGGGTGCCTGTGGCTGCTCCTGCTCTGCGCCAGTCCTGGTTGTGTGTTTTGGGTGCATAGCTTGGCATAAAAAAAATAATAATAATAAAATGGAGAAGCACATGGGCTTCAGTTTTTAACTTCTCCAGCTGACAAAGTCTCTCTGTGCAGCTGAAGGTTTCAGGAGGGGCCGTGGGCAGGTCTCCTCCCTGGGGACAGCACCGTCCTTGTGAGACATGCAGCCCCCAGCAATGCGCCTGATTCTGTCTCATCCACTGCTCTGAGTGCTCCGTGTGGCTTCTCAGTTTCCTATTTTTAATTTTAAAGATACCTCCCCTGTGTGTCTGCCTCTCCAGTCCGCAAGTGCCCCGTGAGCAGGGGAAAGAAAGCAAACAGGGAACGGTTCTGAGAAAACTGGAGGTAGCCACATCTGAAAAAAACAAAAGCATAACCCTCACAAAGGACAGAAAATGAAAATGACTGCTTTTAGACCAATTAAGCTAACTGTTTTTTTCTTTAAATTATTAATCCTGGCTGGAGCTTGGGGCTAATGAATCACGGTGAAATGGCAAGCTGATAGAAGGAGCTGCTGGGTGTCTCAAGGAAGCTGTAATAATTCGATACAACCTGCTGAAAGAATTACGAGTTGTGGTCCAAATTTGAGTTAAGCTATGAGATCTCAGCTGAAATAAATTTTATGTTGTATCATATATGGCTTGCATGATAGGTACCTAGGGCAGGGAACTGAAACTTGACCATTAAAAAAAAAAAAAAAAGTTGATTATAGTAGCATATATATTTATAGAAAGGAGCCATACATTTCTGGCTTTAGCTTATTTTTAGTGGGGAGATGAGGGGGAGGTGAAGAAGTTAATAAAATGGTTGCTGATGAAGGTAAATCATTCTGTAAAGATTTTTCACATGGGGAATTTTACTGATGTCTCTCTGGAGCCAGGATTTTTGCCTTAAGAATGGCCCCAATCACCAAATGGCAGTTCTTTTCCCCAGCATAGGCACCGAGTTCCTTTCCAGCCGGAGTGGGATGAGTGAATATAAGGGGCAATTTTTGGCCTCAAGTAACTTCACATCGCATTGCCAAAAGGAATCCCAGTTCCATGTTCCTAGTGCTGAAGCTGTCAGCTCCACAGGGGTCATCTCCCTTGCCCCGAGGCCAGGCACCAGTGCTGGGATACATGGGAGCAGGCAGGATGTGTCCAGCATCCCTGCTGACCTGGAGAACTGGGTAGTGTTTGCATTGCATTGCCGTGGCATTGGGGACGAAGGTGCATCTTAACATGGACAGCACATTTGTGTCTATTTACCAGCAAAGGAAGGATTCGGCTTTCATTTTTTGCATATTGATACTCTTCAAAAAAGGAAAGCAACCACATTCAGCAAATCCACTTTCAGAGCATTGCCAATTAAAAGATTTTAACAAGCTCATTCCTGATTAAGAGGCAGAAACGGGAGGTCAGCTTATCTACAGGTGAGGCCCTAAGAGCCATCAGGGCCTGGAAGGAGAAATGATGCTCAGAAAGCAGCTGAGTACCTATTTGCTGTAGTAGCTCTGTTCCTGCAAGGTCCAGGTCTACCTATAATTGCCTTAAATTAGGTACCAGCTCCTCACCAGCCAGATGCAGACACCTGCCCCTCGCCCACCGAGAGCCTGGCACCAACCACCTGGGAGGAAAAGTTCCCTTACTCTTAGCCAGCGGAGGACACTTGAAGCCAAAACGTAATTAACGTGTTGGTGTTTGACCAGGATGCTGTGGTCAACTCCTGTGAGAGGTCATGAGGTCTCCACCGACCACAGGAACTTGGTTTTACATCTCATGGCACACAGCAAGCCTGCAGTTAATGCCTCTGCGTAACGCGTCGGGCTTTGATCTCGGTGTGGCAATCCTCTGCGCCCAGCATAATAAACCGTGTTTAGGGCATGGGGAAAAATCCACTTACCTTTTCTGCTGACCTTGTCCAAAAGATTAATTGGACACCTACTGTGATACTTCCAAGTTTCTGATCCTTCTCCCTGGCGTGGTTTGAGCTCATCAGCAGAGGATCGACATCTTTACTTGTCTCGTGGGGAGGGACGGTTGAAGTTAAGGGCGACGATGAAGTGGGTATAATATTTTGCACAGGTGTTCTATAGAATCTGTTTTTGCTTTCTTTGTGAAAGGAAGTTTGGGGCTTTGGCTCGGTTTCAGCTGACACATGATTACCGCAGCGCCGTGGTGCATCTCCCGGGAAGCTGGAGCTCAAAGCGCTCGGTTGGGACTTGCAGTAGGGGTAATGGACACAAACCCATTACCTGCAAGTTCGGACAGCACAGGTCAAACTCGTATTTGTCAGTTTTTGGGTTCCTCCTTTCTCATTCCCCTAATTGTGCTCATTTTCTGTTTAAAAATAATTGGCAGAACTTTTCTGATGTGAAAACAAAAATAAGGCAACTGCAGCTGAGGTCTGTGAAGACAAAATGTTTTAACGTGCTTTGGAGTTCAGGTGGCAAACCTTCCTGTGCTCAGGGACGTGTTGTGCTCTGACCTGCCTCCAGCTGCTGGTGGGGGCACGAGGTGCTGCAGGAACCTGGCCCTCGGCCTTGGAGCAGGCCACATGAGTTTTCCCATGATAACAATGACCAGATTTCTCCAAAATGGGTGTAAATTTGGGAACCGCTGGCTCTGTAACCCTGCCCCTGTGACCCCCACGGAGCCGCCAGTGGGCTGTTTGTGGGACAAAATTCCAACTGAAGAGGTACTTTGGGAAGTTTTATTAAGTTAGAGTAGGGGACAGGATTTGATCAGACCTGAGATAACTTGTCACAGGTGGTTATGAGATAAGTCTTTCCTTGGGCCCTTCCCAGTGTGCCCACACTCATACCGTGTGTTCGGCTGTGCCTTTGCTTTGGTGCATGCTGAGGACTGTGTAGTGCCATATGAAAGGGAAAAAAGTCTCCATCAACCTCTATCCCCACAAAATGTGGAGACAGGAGTCTTGAGCCAACTAAATCCCTGCTCTTTAACAAAGATGCAGACCAGTTTTTTTTTGCCAAACGTTCCTTTCAAAATAAAGTGCATATATCTGGCCTCTTTTAAGGAAGGTCCTCTTGAAGAGTTGGCAGCAATTTACTGGGAAATACTAAAAAGATGACAGGGAGGAAAGAAAGTGGGCTGCTTGCAGCAATCCTGGATGGGATCGCCATGTGATCTGCTGCAAGACCAGGCACGGGTTGCTGGTGCTGGGGCATGTCTGTGCTGGACATCCTAAAGCTTGTCTGGAGCTGGACACCTGCCTCCTGCTGTGTGTTCTTGCTGCAAGAAGTGGTGCTCTGGTCCTGCCTGCTCTGTGCTGTCATGGCCAGGCGATGCGTGACACACTGTGTGCTCTCCTCCTTCTCTAGAAAAAAAAAAAAAAAAAAGCAAAAAAGCAAAATCAGGATCCTAATTCAAGTCCTAGCACTTTTCTGCAAGGTATTCCTTATTCCATGCTGCTGGAAATCAGTTCTAAGGGTGACTTATTTTTGTGCACTTCTGAGCAATTTATGTGTGCGTTTGGGCTGTAAGCCCAAGTTGTGTCCCACTGGGTGCGTGTGTTGGACCACTTCTGCTCCCCCTTTAGGAGGACGTGTTTCTAGATTTCAGTGTCTGGAAAAGTTCAGAGTGATGAGCTGAAAACATGCATTTTGTTCCTATCCTGAGATATGGGATTACAATTTGCTATTTCTGGTAGTGGATTTGTGTGCTTGGACTTGGCATTTCATGGGGACTTAGTGGAGTGAGCTCCCCATAATGGAAATACTCCCCTTGTGCCTCCTTCCTATAAGGATCCCAACGGATAAGGCTGAGTAATTTCTTGAGGGTCCTCTAAAAACTTATTTGGATTAGGACAGCACAAATAGCTGTGAAAACATTGGAAAGAAAGAAGGTTAGAGATGGAAATAACAATTTAGGGGTAAGGGGAAATAGTCACCAGTTGATAGCCATGGGATGATCCAGGGATGCATTGGACATGTTTTAACAATTGGTGTTATTTTTGTCAGTGAAATTTGCTGCTTTGCCAAATTTGCTCTTAGCAATACCCTTTCCTTCTGACAGTTTACGGGGGATTTAAGTGAAGCACAGCCCTTGCCCTGGCTCTATATGGCAGTGAATTTCACTCCAAGTGAGCAGAGGGAATTGGTAGAGGGCCCTAAGGCTAGAGATCTATATCACATGAAGAGAAGCATCCAAAGGCTTTGACCACTCCTAATGTACAGTTCAAGGCCCCAGAGAGTCCTTCTGAGATGCAAGTGTTAGAGGGAACTGTAGAATTTAATGACCAAAGTTTCTGCTGTTTTACAACGTGCATGTTTAAAAGGATTATTGGGTTCTAGTATAGAATTCTATAGGATGCGTTGGGGGAGAATATAAATAAGACTCCATGTTTTTGCAGCACTTTGTACAAAACCGTATAACATTTTTATAGCTCTGTTTCCATCCCTATTTCATGAGGATTTCTCATAAGCAGTGTTCTGGCAGTGAGGAGCTGAGCGGCTGATGCCTGGTTTTAGGGAGTTATTGCTCTGCTGTCTGCACCCTGTTGGAGCTGCCTGTGAATTCGCGCTCTCCTCTCAGATCTCAAATGCTGGCGGCCCTGCAATGGCTGCTGCTGCGTGGAGCAATGAGTTCTCACCCAAGAAGTTGGAGAAAAGCTCATAAAGTATTTTGTGAGGTCTTGATCCAGCTTCGGACTGCAGTAGCTTTGGCTATGGCTCGGCGATGCTCTCCTCTGCTCAGATATGTCAGCTGCCGGGTTTGATTTTATCGTATGAGGAGACAAACTGTTTAGTGAATGAAACCAGATGTGCAAGCCTGTGCTGAGAGACCTAAAGCCCCTTTGCGAAGGAGTCAAGCCAGAAACCTTGGAAAAGACGTATAAAAACATTCATGGAATGTATTCTTGGCAATTCAAGGTAAATATGCATTATGCAGATATTCTCTTTTAACTATGCTATCCCCTTTCCTTGCATTTCCTCAGAATCCATGTGCTGGAGGACTCCAGCGTGGTCTGTTCCTCATCTTCCTGCACAACCCAGTGTGGGATGCTGCTAGGAGTAGGGCTGGGGATGGCTCCCTGGAGGTTTTATTGACAGAACAGAGAGAGCCGGGACCTGCAGGGCGCTAGAGAAGTGCTCGTGAGAAGAGTAGACCTTCAGACACTTGCCGTGAAACAAATGAGGTAATTCTTGAGAAAACCCAGGCTGATACAAAAGCTTGCACAAACAGCCAGTTTCAGCTTGGACAATCCCATTGACCCGAGTAGTTTCTCCAAGAGGACCCACGTGGATTAGTCAGTGTAGACTAACTGTCATGCACCATGCACCCGACACGTGTTGCAACACGTTATTCCATGAAACGAGCTAGTTAAATCTTCCTGCGAGCTGCTAAAACACTTCTAAACTGAAAGAAAATGCTCTGTTAAGAATTGGTTGAATCAGAAGGTACCTTGTAACTTTCACTGTATGGCCCAAACCCCTCTAAGCTGCTTTGATACTCATTTTAGTAACATCAACCAGACGAGAACACCACTGAAACCTGGGTGAGAGTGTTTTTTCTTTTTTAATACCCAAAGTTAACCATTAGCTCTTTCCTGAGAGCCTCATTTTGACCTCTGTGCACCCAGTATCTGCTCTCAGAAACGCAGTGTGATGATGGCAGGCGGGCAGCAGTGACATCTGGGGCAGAGGTGGGGTGGTGAGCACAGCCGATGCCATTCTCATGACACACAGGGACCAGCGCAATAAACGGGAGAGCCAGAACTTTCCAGGTGAATCTGAAATGAAATTAAATCATTTGTGTTTGCTTTAATATAGGGATGTATGATATTATCTGTCTACAGCATTAGTCTGTGCTGCTGCCTTTGAAGCTAATAATTGGTAGTAGGGTGGTGTGTTGGAGTTTCCATGTTAGGCATGATTTTGGAATGAATCTCAGTTATTCAGACAAATGGGCATTTTCGGAGTATTACCCACCACCACATGATGTTACATATTCCTCATCAGCGGCTGTGTTCAGGTTTGGGCATCACCGGGGTTTGGGGTTTTTCTTTAGCTAATTAAGAATTGTGAGAAGGGCAAAAAGTATTTGGGGTGTTGGAGAAGAAAGGTTAAACCAGCAGAATATGGCAAGCTTAGCTGAGCCGTGCTTAAGGTGGTCTCAGGCTGTGATGCTGGAGGGGTTCAGCACCAGGGATGCAACCATTCATTAGCGCAGCGCGTGGTGTTGCAGGTAAGGGTGGGGAGAAGCAAAATGCAGATGAAATATCCAGCTGTGCCTCCGGAAATGAGATCCCAGAGGCACAGATTAGTGTCTTGAAAACTACAATGCTACAAATCTCAGGGAGGTTTGGTGTAGGGAGCAATCCCACAGCGGTAGCAAGGCAGGCTGGAGGAGTCCAGGTGCTCCTTACAGGCTTTGGTTCTTTGGTTTTGGGTGTAACTGTTGACTCCATTGCAATGGGCTCATATTAGGTATGACTTGGATCTGGTTTGTGCAATGGCTTGAGTTTTTTGGATTACGAGTTCTTAGATGATGGCCGCAAAGGAATTTTAATTAGGAAAGTAAGAAAGGTTCTGCTGGGAGACAGGCAAACCACGATAATTATTGGCAGTGAGAAAGCTAGCAAAGAGCAAGTATCAGGGAATTTATAGAGGTCTTATTAAGAATTACCTAAATGGAATTTTTAAGGATGCACATGAGAGAATCTCTTAGAAGGAAAAGACCTAAAATGTCAGTAACATCCACTCCTGTGTTTTATCTGGTGTTCAGCTGTACTTACAAGCTCTCATGAGCACACAGATGAGGATCAAAGTGTGTGGCCGTGGTAGATGCAATCTCAATCACCGTGCATGTCCGGATCTCTGGAAGAACCCACCAGAGGATGCTGATCCTGCACCAAGCTCTGCCAAGGTGACTGACACGGGAGCCAGTCTGTCTCACTGACCAGCAGTCCCCAGGTTCCTTCACAGGTGGGGCAAGCCACACTGCGAAATCAGTTCTGTAGGAGTTTGTATTCCCCAATGCATCCCTCCTGAAACCAAATACTGCAATGCCAAAATAAAATGACCCCTTAACATTTTTATTAGGAAATAATGGGTAGTATTGCTCCCATCTCCAAGGTCTTGAATGCTAAATAACCTGGGCAGGAGATCTCCATGCCAGCATAACACTGTTCTTTGTGTTAAATTAACATGTCCGACTTGACATGAAGATGCTCTTGGAGTAGCAAAGTGCTTGCTTGGCTAAATCCAGGCTTCTAGCTTTGTCTGCTGCAGCACAGAGCTGCACACATTTTCCTCTGCTAGCTCTGCATATGAGAAGAGCCCAAAAATGTTATTGCTACTGATAAATCCTTAATTTTTCTTCATAATTGATGGGATAGGCAGAGTTGTGGTGTACCCAGGTAAAGACCTGTGTGAATGCAGGACAATAGCTGGACAGGAAACAATTCCCAGTGCTTGACCTGGAAGATGTGGCCGTGCCGAGGAATGCGCACACCTACGGGCTTCTCATGGGAATAGCTCTGCTGTCATAATAAGGGCACCGTCAGCTGTTGTGGCATCACTTGCTTCTGTTTTATGGAAGTGTCTCAATAGAAATATCTAAAAAGGACATATCAGTCTTCCAACTGTCCTCACCTGGCCCAGGAAGACTGTAAGAGCAGTGGAAATTTGCTCTTCTCAGGCACCTGCAGAAGATCCAACCTGACTTTCTTTGACTCTGTGACCTTCTTCTACTCCCTGCCGAGGCACCTCTCTGTGTATCAGCAAATGGGGCTGCTACCAAGGGTACAAGAGGTCTGTGTCTGTAGGAACATAAGCAGCGTTTGCAGCAGAAGTCTTTGTGGGAGAGCACTGCAGCTCTGGCACTGCCTCATGCTGCCTGCTTGGGGCCATGCTGCCAAGGCGTTTAAGTGTCGGTCACTTCTGAAAGGCCGGTCTTTAACCTCTTGATCTTCTATTCCTAATGAAATGGGAGGGGTGGCAGGAACTCGCACTTTCTCATGTGGATTTTGGTAATTAGTCTAAATGCTTCTGTAACACAAGGACGTTAAAGGCCTTGCACACCATTAATGCAAACTGCTTACTTGTAACGGAGTAAACACCATCGCACCGACCACACTGCTAACACCAGCAGACTCCTAATTTTGGAGATTGTGAAAGGTTGCTCACTGTGCCCAGTGCATGTGGGAAGGAGGTTTTGAAAGGGTAAAGCTGTGTTGTACTGGTGTCCGGCTGTTGAGGAAAGCAGCTGTAGTGGATCACCACAAGAGATGGCACCCAGCACAGCAGAGCAAGGTGACAGGAGGATGCTTGAGGGGATCAGGTACCCACCCTGGCTGCTTGGAGCTGCCAAACCTCCTTCCAGCCTGGATGTCACATGAGGGACCAGGATCAGGGTGATGGGGCAGACCAGGAGGTGGTGGTGAGGTTGATGCTCAATACCCTGCTTGGGCACGAGTTGTGGAGCCCCAGCTGTGTCCAGGGAGAAGATGTAAAGAAAAGGGGCTCGTCCCCCATAGATGAGCCCTGCCAAGATCAAAATGAAGCAACTTTAGGTACAGCAGCGGCTGCTCTTCGTCCCATTTCTCTTCCTGTCTGACGCTGTCACGTACTGGGGAGCTGAACCGCTTGGTGCTTCCAAGTGGCCCCTGGTAACTGATACCTCTAAAACCAAGGTGGATGGTTTACCAGAAGTCACACTGCGAGCCGGTAGCTCTTGACATTCGTTGCAGAGCACATGACGCACCAGAAAAGGGCAGCGGGACCTACATCTTTTGATGCAGAAAGCAGCCGTTGCGTGACTCGGTCCTCGCTGGGAAATGCGGGCTGAGCACCGCAGCCAGCCCCTGGTGGTGCTGGCCCTGGCACCAGCCCAGGGGGATGGAAAGAGGTTTTTGTTTTATTTTTTTTAAAAGCTCTTCTTCCTATTAGCACATGTCCTGAGTCAGGTGAAGCAGCTGCAGCCTGGTACGCAGCCGTGCTTCTGTGAAGGCTACAGTTGTGTTCAGCTCTGCTTAAATATTCTTAGATTGAATGGAAACTGCTTGCTAGCTCCTAAAACCCTTCAAAGAGCACATCCTATTTATGCTTCAGTGAAGGTCTCCAACCTGACTGTTGTGGTATGAGAGGGCTTCAGCAGTTCTTCATGAGCCAGCTTAAAGGGAGGAGACTTGCTGCATAAGTAAGGTGTGTGGCGGGTGTTAGAGGCTGAGAACAGGATTGATCTGTGAGGCTCCATATTGTTACAGACCGCGTGACTGCTAAGCACAGAGAAGCAGATAACTCCCTGAAGTAGTTAATTTGAATATACAGAAGCAAAAGGAAGAGTAGGAGGAAGATGTAGGTCAAGTGCTTCAGGAAGATGCCAGGCGAATGTTCAAAGAACCACAAGGTTGGTCTCTGCCAGTGTCAGAAGTAGCTGCTTGCACCTCAGCTGTTCGTGTGGAATTATTTTGTTCTAAGTAGAGGAACTTTGCTTTTTATTTTATTTTTTTTTAATTTTAATTATAACAGCTTGCTGGGGCCTCCTAAATAGGGACCATACACCTGACATTGGCCATGCTGCCATTAGCGTTGTCCTCCTAAGCCCTCTCAGTCACAGCCCAGCTCGATATGTTATTTCTCCTCTTAAGAGCATAAATAGCTGAGGCCAGCAAAAATCTGGAGCAATTGTTTTCTATTCATTTTTAGTACAGTGAAGGAGCAGGATTTTATGATTCGTTCCTTGATTTCTAAGGTATTAAAGGATGCGTAAGTCCGTATGAAAAAGGGAAACTTGGATGGACAATTTTGGCTGGACAAAATCTGCTACGAAATCAGCTTTCTGAGAGGTTGAAAAAGGAACCCTTAAAAGTTGTGGGACTGTCACACTGACTCAGAAAAACTCATCCCCACTGTACTGGGTAGGGTACCAGCAAGCAGTATGTCAGCTCTGCTGTTTTACCTGTTCTGGCCAAAATAAAGCTCCATTGTCACTAACATTTCTTTGTCACGGAACAGGGCCGTGGATCTGGTTTAATTGCATTTAGGTCATGCTTCTGCCACCCATCTCCTGGAATTTGGGCTGGCAAGCTTAGCCTAAGGAAAGCTTCACCAGTGCAATCATTTTACTTGGTGCTGGAGAGACCTGATGTTTGTAAGGGAAGTCTGCACAAATGCTAGGAAACCCGCTGAATAGTCATCATTAATATGAATTATTTTTGCTTAGTCTGACTTTAAAAAAGAAAAAAAAAAGGGTCACAACCCCCCCCAAAAAACCTTCTTCCTATAAAGCTAAAAGCTTTTATCTTCTTTAACATGACGCTTTTCCTGAAAATGCCTGCAAGTGAGTCTTGCACAAGAAGCCTGCCATAAGATACGTTACTACAATAGCTGCTTCCACTGCATGTTCCTTGCCCACATAAAGAGCGGATGATGATTCTTTCGAGAAGGGGAAAACCTTGTCTCGTTTCTCTTGTGACCTACTTGGCTCAGAGGCAGCGCACAGAGCAGGGCTCTGCACCTTCGCCGTGACGCTCCACTGGTCGCAAGGCTTGCGGAGCTTTTGGGGCATTTTCGGGCAGTTCTTGCCAGCCTTGCAACTTCTAGCTTAGTCTGCCGTGTGCTGGCTGAGCGTGGGCAGAGGTGTGAAGAGTCAGGGCTGGAGGGTAGGTTGGCAGAGATGCAGCTCAAGGCTTTGAGCTGGATGGAAAGGGCGGTGGGATGGGACGAGCAGGGCCGCCTCCCAGCCGCTGAGCTCCTCCAGAACCTCTTGTGTAAGCCAAAGGAACTAAAAGAAAGAGAAAGGAAGACCTAAACTAGGTCAAAGTTGCCTTCAAAGAAGAACAGAATGTTAACGCCTTGTGTGTGATCTGCGCTGGGAAAGTTCACAGCCCGTTTCCACTTGGGGGCTCGAGCAGCAACGTACGTGCGCTGCACGTGGTCACAGCGGGGCTGCTGCTGCAGATATCTGCAAGAGCTTGTGCACAGGTATCTTCCAGGAGGGCTGCTGGTGGTGCTCATCTCCAAAACTAATCTCAGAAGGTGCCTTTTGCACAGTAATAGTAGGAAAAAATAAAGTTTATTCAGTCTTTCTTCTCCCTGGTTCCCATGTGCGCTGCAGACTCAAACGAGGAAGAGTCTGCAGCTGGGAAATACCATCCATGGCTTTGAAAGCAGCAAATGTGAGTTTTACTCTTTGGGGAATTTCTAACTTGTCATCTCTGGATTATGTGGTTAAGCCCCGAGCAGGTACAGGGATACCCATCAAATGTGGGCAGCTGGCAGTGCACGTCTTTTTGCCCCTGAAATGGGGATGAATTAATTTCTTTACTTGCGTTTCCATCCACTGAGCGCTTGCTGAAGGAGAGCTATAAGAGCTGGCCTCCCCTAGGGATGCAGGGCAGCTAGGAGCAAAGTGATATTTATCCCCCCATGAGAAAGCTGCCAACTGTCAAGTTATATGGCACTGGCCGTAATTTTTGAGGGCTGTTCTCGTTTTTATGGCTCATCTTACCACATTTCTGCACTTCAGAGTTCAAGGGCCAAATTTACTTAAGTCTTGAAACTGATTTAAAAGGGGACAAGGCCAAATAAAGTCTGGTGACATAAAAATATTGGGAGAGGACTGCAAAGCTGCAGGGAGCACCAGCCTCTGAACTGAGCAGGGAAGAAGGGAACAGGGATCAGCAGCCCTGGAGCTAAACCTCCAGGGAAACGTGGCCTGTGGTTGGAAGAGGTGCAAGCAATACTTCATGTTACCATCGGTGGGTGTCTGTGGAAGCCATACCAGGCTGTAATTCTTGATGTATTTAAAAACTTGCTGTTAACTCGGAGTGATGTTGAACGTAATCTGTACTACAGCTTTTCAAGGGCTACCAGCCACCATTGGAAACAAGCAACATGATTTTGTCAGAAAGCATAAAATGGGAGAGGAACCATTTCTCAGCTTGTGAGTGGCCTGTCAAAACCTTGCCAGACGTGCAGATTCGTGGGGGCTCCAAGCTCTCCACCAGGAGATGAGATTTCTGCAGAAGAAACCTGAGTGCCCTGTTGCTGCCCCAGCCTGGTGATGATCACAGCTGGAGTAATCTCTGATGGAAAGACGAAGGGCCCGATCCAAGCCCAGCAAAGGAACCCAGGCCTGGACCAAAAGGATGGAGACAACCAGCATTTTCAGAGGGGGAGAGACACCGCTGCAGTAGGGATGGAGGGACTATCAAAATATGAATGCAAATGGGGCACTTATGGCTTTCAGGTTGGCAGCTGGTGAATACCTTAATGTCTTGCCAGAAACAATGCTCTTAATGTTAAAAGAAAAGCTGCAGGCCATGAAAAGCGAGCATGAAGAATTTCAGGGCTTTCAGGGATAAACTTAAAGAAACACGAGAGTAGGTGTATAGGGAAATGAACGATAACATCTTTAGTAGTTTCAGGGAAAAGGGCAATCATTTGGGGTTGAAAGTGAATCAAACTATTTGTCTTGTTACTGAAGGAGCAAGGGATCAAACAGCTTAGGAAAAATCTGGAGGTGTCTTCCAGGTCCTGGGGAAGGTCCCAGCAAACTGCAGCATTTGAAACAGTCAAGAGAAAAGTTGGGTCACATCCCTGACAGCACACCCCTTGGAGGTGTTTCACTGGGAAATATGACAGAAGTGGATGGTTTGGAGCAACTGGTGGCTTTGGGGACAAGCTGGGGATAAATTAAGCTAACTGCCCTCAGCTGCCTGAGGAAGAGGATGGAGGAGCAGTCTGGGTCTGGATGTGTCCTTCCTGGGGACACGCAGTCCTCCCACTCCTGGTAGGAGAAGGGAGTCTTCCTCCTCCTTGTGTGTCAGAGAAAACCATATGAAGAGCAAGATAAATGAAACTTTTTGAGTTTTGGGCTGATGACATGGAGAGCAAGGATGGACAGACTGAAAATGTGAAAAATAAGGGAGGCTGAAGATGTGAGAAGGCAGCTCTCCTCCTATGGAGGCAACAATTGAGTGCTGCCTGCCATGAACATTTTTGGGAAGGAAAATACGGATTATTTCTCCCCATGTCTTGTGTTTGGGTGGATATTTCTTGGAATAAGCAGTCAGCTACAACAACTCTGTGTGAGATGTGACTGGATGCAGGCAGTGATTGTCACAGCTTGAATGAACTTTGGGGGTTAGAGGAGTCCTAAGCTGGAACCCTGTCCATGTACCTGGTGGCTGTTGCTCTCCTTCCTGACCTTCTTGGCTCATGTCTTTTTTATTTATTTATTTTCTCCTGGCTGCTCTGGAGCATGCTGCTTGCCTGCTGATTTGTAATAAGCTCTCAGGGAAGCTTCTCCACCAGGGCACCACAACATCTCCCTGCGCCCAGCTCCATGGCCTGGCTGCGAAACCCTGCTCGGGTCCTTCTGCATCCCGGTGACAAAAACAGCAATGAGTGCACTGGCAATAGACATTTCCATCTTTGTCTAGAGTATTTCTGGTCCTTCTCAGAGAACTCAACCACAGAAAACCTCATCATCACTAGATGGCGTGTGTGGGCTGCTCTTGTCCTAGCACTGGGCAAACCAGGCAGTGAGGTTTCCTCCCTCTATATTTTTTTAATGTACTTCTGTGGCTCCTTCTGACAGCAGGGTATGTACAACACATCCCAATCTGCCCCATAGCCCCACAAAATACTGTGCTGCTCTCCAGCAGTTCTGCCACCTCCCTCCTCCTGCTCTCTGTGCCCCAGGGGTGGCCCAGGCTTGATGTTTCTTTGCCACCCTTCCCAGGCACTGAACATAAGCCCATGAAATGCCATGTACTGAATAAGCAAAACCCCACATTTGGTCTTTTTAGGAGTGGTCTTGTAGCATGTTTGATGAATTCTGTCTTGGTATAATAGCTGCCTGCAAAAATATGAGCAGGGGCTGAAGAGGCAGCATGGCAGTGGTCTGTCCGGGCAGGGTGGCAGCTCCTTGGGGACTTCTGTCCCCTGCTGTCACCACAGGGTGACGTGTGGCTGTGTTTTAGCTTGTTTTAGCTGGAACCAAGTGTAAAGAAAAAGCCCTGGGGCTAGTGCTAGCATCTGTGGCTTAATGTGGCCCTTGTCACGGGTTTGCTGTTTATCGGGTGCCTCCTTCAGGCCTGGCGTGCCAGGTGCTGCGCTCACTGCTGAATTTCCCTCGCTAAAGCTTTCCATCAGAGTTTAAGACCAAAGATCAAAAAGAGACTTTTGGACGGGCAGAAGGAAAATACTTTGATCAAAAGACAGTAGATGTGTTGGTAGTGCTAATTATTATCAATCAAATAGAGACTAATGCTTGGGTGCACATGTGCGTGGAGCCTGAAGTCAGTGGTTCTTGCTGACTTCTGCCTTAGCCTTTCAGCGTTCCTGCAGAATCTACGTTGTGATCTGCCACGTGTTTGTCAGTACTCAGAATTTGCTCTCTTGGGGCTTCTGTTCCCCTTTCTGCCACAACTCAGAGCAGGCTCAGGCCTTTCTGGAGCTTCCCAACTATTTCATTATAAGCTCTCAGAGGCAAAACCCTCAAAGACCATCCCAGCTCTTACCGGGGGGGCCGTGTGTGGAACCTACAGAATAATGGAACTGCATTTCCACACCACAACCGGTGTTTCCCAGAGCCGACAGGAAAATTGCCCTTTCCTTCTCTAAGGTGGAGTAGATCAAAGAGCAAAATTTCTTCCAGGAGAAGAAACCCACATCCTTTTGGTGAGCTATTATTATTATTACTGTCCTTCTTGCTGGAATTAATCCAGGCTGGATGCAGAAAGGAAAGCAAATCTCACGGAGGTGCACATCTCTATTTTTGTGTAAACACTGAACTAGAAATTTTTAAGAGTTCTTGGTTTGAGTCACCCACTGATCATCCCCGTAAGACTCAGTGGGGTGATGAAAGTGACCAGCAGGTCCCAGCAATGCTCATCGCCAGCTGTAGAAAATATCCTTTAGGAATAAATCATTTTTCTATTAAAAATGTCGGTCATACATCACTTCCCAGTCAGCTGTAGCGTTAGTTGGCCAGTCTGTGTCTGGAGTTTTTGTGAGCAGGGAGACCCAGGTGTGGTGGAACTGGCCTGGGAGCTGTGTGGGAGTTGATCCAAAGGAGTTTAAAGACCTGTGGGCTGAACTGTGTCCTGTGTTATGGGCTATCGAGGCTGTGGCTCTGTTTAAGGCTGAGGGTGCACACACACAGATAACCCAGCCATGTGTAGATTTGCTCATCTGTATTTTGTTCAGCTCTAACTGCAGAAGAAATGCTGCAGCTGATGAGCAGATGTTCTTTTTTTTTTTTTTTTTTTTTTTTTAAAGGAAAAAAAGGTTCATTATTTTCTCTGTATATACAGGATTATCCAGTCAGGCAAGCCTAGTGATGACTTGATTAAATAATCACTTTAATAGAGCTGAACCACTTGCATTTTTTTGGCAAATATCAATCGGATGTGAGTGTTTTGGTGCCAAGGCCCTGTTTGCTTCCAGCAGTGTTCTGCTGCTTCAATTCCATCTCTGAAGATGACAAAGCCAAGCATCCTTGTTGCTCCAGCAGTTCTTGTCTGCCAAGGTGAAATATCCTTGAAACACAGCTCTGAAACCTGCTGCCGTGCTGCGGATGGCATTCAGGGCTGATGTGCAGCTTGCTGCTGCTGCAAGGAGCTCCGTGGCTCTGGGATTCCTTTCCTGCAGGCGCATTTCCCATAGCCTGGTCCTGCAAATAAATTCAGTAGCCAGTGGCCAGCTTCTGCCATCCCCACTGTTTGCACCTTATTTGAAAAACAGCTTATTTATTTGTTTGTTTGTTTCATTTTTCATTCATCAGTCTGGTCCCGCACAAGGTAAACAACGTGTTGGAGTGTATTGCTATTAATCACATCAGTCTGCAGTGCCGTAACCACAATGTGGAAGTCTTATCTGCCAATTTAATACCAATGCTTCCTTTTAAAGTAGCTCTTTGAATGTAAATAGACTACAAATAATGTTTTGGTTGGCGTGTATTTATCACTTATTTATCTTACATACCATATCTTTGCTGCTTCTCCCGTGTTGCTTTCAAGACAAGACAGTTATGCAGATTTAGAAAATGCTGTGGCTTGTGAAAATGTTGCTTTGTGTTTTTCCTTTTTCTGGGATACTTGGCGTGTACTTAACAGGCAAGTGACTGGCTCTGGGTCTGTGCAGGGGCACGAGGTGTGATGGGTCCCTCCCTGCATGCCTTCACTGCCTTCTCATGGGTTACTGGCCTGGGCTGTGCCTCACAACCTCAGCCACATGCCGATTTCAGTCCTTGTCCCCTCTGGTTTCTTAGAACCAAGATATTCACCAAGTGGCAGATTAGGGAGGCAGAAGCTGCCTTTGTGTACTTATGTCCTCTCTTTGCTTTGGTCTTTTGTGCTCTGAAGACCTCTCAGTACCTGCAGTCCCAGCTCCTTGCTGTGACCGCACACCAGATACCTCGGGGTCTCTCATCACATCCCTGTGGTCACTGACATTGTCCTCACCCTGCCCTTGAAGGGACAACTTCTCCAGCCAGTCTTGCCTGCGATATAACATTTCCAGCCCTCCCAAAATAATTCAGGTTGCAAAAACCGTGACATCTGTTCCCCAATGGTGGGGAGGCCCCTGGCTGCCTCCACACCGTGAGGCTGCAGGAGCCCGTGCCCCTGCCAGCCCTCTGTTTGAAGCAGCCTCCTGGCCCAGGAGTGGTGTGAGAGGTGTCGCAGCCTTCCCCACTTTTATAGGGAGTGAAAATGAAGATGCACAGTGGTGGAGAGGAGCTTGGCTTTGATCATTGCTGGTTCCAGGAAATAAAAACATGACCCAAAGGGAGTGAGCGAGGGGCGTAATGATGTCAGGACATCTCTTTGTTATTCTCCGAGATCAAAAGAAGCTGAACGAGTTTAGCTTTTATTGCATTCCCCTTTTGTTTTCTCCTTTTTTTTTTTTTTTTTTTTTTCCCTAAAAAAACAATGCAACCCTCCCTGGTCTTGTCCCAGCCATGCTCCCCACTCCTGCTATCCCCAGGCCACTGCAGACTGTGTGGCACCGCTCTGGCATGGCACAGACCTTGGGGGCCGTCTGTGGTCAGCCTGCTGGGAAGAATATCTGTGCTTATGTCTTCACTTTAAATGAAAGAGATTCTTTCAACGGTATAAGAAATCACCAAGAAGTTCTAAACATCAATTCTCTCCTTCATTTTGGCTGCTCATTCTCAGTTTTTCTGTCACTCACTGAGATAATTACAGCATGTCTGAAAAAGAGCCCAGCTCCATACTAGGATATTTGCTGCCATCTTTTGGTAGATGCATGTTACAGAAAGTAGTGATTTTTTTTTTCTCTGCACAGGCGCCGAACGTCCTGTCCTCTCTCTTTGCCCTTCCCCTGCTCTCCTGCTGCATCATGCTCAGCCTCGTACTGCAGAGACAGACGGTGAATGTTAAACTCAACCGATGATATCACCAAGCAGACCCTGAAAAATGGAACAGGCAAAAGCAAGTAAATGGCATCCATGTAGGATGGATTTCAAAATAACAGGGGGGTAAGGGACTCAGCTGCTGCCTCATTGCTGCTGCAGGTGCCAGGCAATGTTTCCCTGTGCCTGGGACAGAGGGGACACCCTCCAAGCTGTCTGGTTCCCCACCTCTGGCAGCACCAGCAGTGGGAATGGGCAGGACAGGTCTCTCTCTGCCTGGTTCTGCTTGTGACCATGCTGTGAGTCCTTTGAGACATAAAAATCCCCTGAGCTAGGGAAAGGACGTAGGGAACAGGCTGTAATCTGTGTGCATGCAGGAAATAAAAGGGGTTTTATGCCAGGAAGTAATAAAACAATATATTGGAGAAAATGGGGTGGCAGCAAGGATGATGCTAGGGGAGAAAGCACAGTGGGCAGGCAGTGTGCTGTAAGCCAGGCTCAGTGTTGCATGATTCACCTCTGGCACAAGCAGGTGGCCAAGAGCCAAGGCTGTGCTTGCTCCAGCGTGGGGCAGGTTGAGGAGCTGCTGCTTGGGGTGAAGACACAGCCATGGCTGACCAAATGGTATGAGGGTGTCCTGCTTCCAACCACGTGTTGCCCTGGCTCTTCCTGTGCTCCTCTGCCTCTGGGGTGATCAGCTTCAGCTCAGCACCCTGGCAGAACCCTGAAGTCATGTTTGCTGGGCTGGCTTTTGGTGGGACAGCAAGTGACATCAGCCCTGGGCACACTCCAACAAGCCCTAGGGCACAGGGACAGCACATGCTGCTGCCAGCGGCACGGCGAGGCTGTCTGCAGCCTGACTTCGCCTTGTGTCAACACCAGTGCTCGCTTTGGGAGCTGAACCTACAGAATGGCTGTGGCTAGAAGTAACTCTCCAAATGTTTAAAAGGACCCCTTTTTTTTCTATGGGTTTCTCTCGTGGCAGCAGACTGTGCATTTTATTTCAGCACAGAGTTGGTATCAGGCACAATTTCTCCAGCTTTTGCTGCCACAGCTGGCTCTCCAAGGTCTGTATGTGGCTACACACACGCCTTTCTCCTCCACCACCTCATCACAAAAGCTAAGACATGCCTGAGACCTCACCAAATCCCACACCCCACTTCACTTGCGTGATTCTGTTCAACAGAAAGTCCCTTTTATTTTCAGTTTGAGCCCAGACTTTGCTCACAGCACTGGAGACAGCCTGACAAAGCAACGTTCGCAGACCTTTGGTGTTTCTGTTTTAACGCAGGATCTCAGCTTTTCCAGTTGTGGTTTGCAGCATTCCCTTGTGCTCTTTTTCTTTCATTATCCCCTCCAACTGCAGGCAAGAAATGTGCTTGTTGCCAGGCATGAAGTGTTCTCACGTCCTGCTCTTCTACAGCCAGCTTAAAGTCTGTGAAGTTTCGCAATGTCTGTGCTTGAGTGTGGACTCAGAAACTTTCCATCATTTGGAAAGAGCAGTTACTGGGACTGATAAGAAATGGGCACCCACCTGAAAAAAAGAGAAGCAAACTTTGGAAACTGAACTCCCAGACCCAAGCAAGAAGTCTGGGTGCCAAGATCCTGGATGAGCTTGCAATGCAGCTCCCAGGCTGGATCTGGACACTGCAGCAGGGCGAGACCGGGACATGCCCCAGCCTTCCCGGCCCTTGATTTCTGTGGGATAGAGCTGGGCGTTGTTCACAAGTGCTGTGCATGCCCTGGGCACGCTTCCGAGCAGGGTGACTTTGACCTCCAGGTGTGCAGCCACCCGCAGTGGGTACAGCACGGAGGCCGTGCCTCTCTGGGGAGATGCTGCTGGGAAAGCAAAGGCGTGAGCCAGGAGAAAGGACAGCCAGGGAAAATGCCTCTTGCTATCTATCCCTGCTGTGTAAAGGAGGAAAAATAGGCAAGAAATCATGGTAAAAACCATAAGTAAAGCTTCCCAAGGGTGGGATGTGAACTCCTAGCGATTTCTCCTGGTGAAAATCTCCCTCGGGCACTGGGCCTGGAAGGGTGAATGTCAGGACCATGGGTAGGATGAGTCTGCTGCTTATCTCGTGGGCAATGCCCTGAGCCTCTGGCAGAGATGGGTGGGTTTCGTATCTCATCCTGCAGCCTCTGCTCCTCGGTGATAGCAGAGCGCAGCCTGCCTCGCTCCGCCACCGGGACCCCTTGGTTGTAGGCTCAGCAGAGGGCTGCCTCCTGCCTCCAGCAGGGAGTTAGCAAGACAGAAAGCTCCCAATCACCCCGCAGCACCCAGCACAGCTCCATTTCCACCGGGCTCTCCCTGGGGGACCACCTCCAGCACCCCCCCTTTACCCTTTTCCCCCCCTTAACTCATCCTCCCCCCACCAGATCCCACCGGGGGGCTCTCGGGGGGCTTTCCCCGGAGCCTGTCGGGGGGTCCTGCCCCGGAGGGAGGCAGCTCCGGGGGCTCGGTGAGGCGACGAGGCCCGGCCCGCTCCGCCCCGTCCCCGCCCGCCGCCGCGCAGCCGCCGCCGCCGCAGAGCCCGGGGAGGCGCCGGGCAGGGGCCGGGGGAGGCCGAGGAGGGAGCGGGAGCAGCGGGGCCGCCGCCGCCTCGGGGGGGGGCCAGGTAGGGCCGGGGGTTCCCGGGGGTCCTTGGGGTGCCGGGAGGGGTTGAGGGGGGCTCGCTCCTTGCTGCTAACGGGGCCGGAGGTTTCCTTACGTAACGCGCAGCGGCCTCGGGGGGAGTCCCCCGGGGGACCGGGGGGTGGGATCGGGGGCAGCGATCGTCCCTTCCCCGCAGCCCCCGGCCTTGGGGAGGGGTCCCCGGTGGGTGGGGGGAGAGGTTCGGCCTGGCTCGGGGCAGCTGTTCCAGAAATTAATTAATAAATTAATAAAAACCGGCAGGCACCGGGCAGAGCGGAGCTGACTCATCCCCTCTGCCGGGGGCTCTCTCCATCCCCTTCCCGTCCCCGGGGTCAGGGTGGCTGCCAAATTGCCTCCCGACCCCTTCCCAAAAGGGCCTTCGGGTGCTGGTTGGGCCTGGGGTTACCGCTGCCGGCTGTAGGGCAGCAGGAGCAGAGCCCTCAGTATCCCCCGGTGCCCTGCAGTACCCCCAGTGTCCCCCAGTGCCCCCAGTATCCTACCAGTGACCCCCAGCGGGGCGCAGCCTCACCCAGGGGCTGCAGGGCTGGGTGGTTAACCTGGGCTCATAACTTGGGGCTGAAGGAACTTGGTTCCTTGTTCTCCCCTCGCAGTTTTCCCAACTCCAGCAGCTACCGCAGGCTGCAGCATCCCCCAGCCGTGTTTAATTGCTGTTTCTGTGCGATAGCTTAATGAGGGGTTTCGGTACAACGCTGTTCTGAACTTGCACCCACGCAATTAACAGCAGGCTCTTTCTTTCTTTAGTTCCGTAAATATTGGTTTAGGCTAAATCACAATATTTGTATTTGCTTTGAAGGGTTTTATCTCCTCTGTGCTCCAGCATTTATTGGGTGACAGATAATATTGCATAAATCAATCGCGGAAAAGTAAATCTGCTCTGTCATGTGTGGTTCGAGAGCAGGAGGGCTCTGATCCTACAGGTGTTGGTAGCTTGGCTGTGAAATGACACTGCCCAGGCTGGGGGGCAAAAAGGTGCTTAAAAGCATGCCAAGGGATATTTTTTTCAGTCTATAGAGGAGATAAATAGGGAATGATCAGATTTGGGGATATTGAGGCAAAAGACCCTCATGTGCTTTCTCTCCTCATGCGCAGTGCAGCTGGCTTCATCACCTGATGGTTTATTAGGAAAAATGTGACAGGAGCAAGGTTAAATCCAACCTTTCTATTTTCTAAGCCTTGATTCCGACAGACTCCCATTGTCTTCGTGGCAGTTGAACCTGCCATTGATTTTATTCTTATCTTAAATTTTTATATAGCTCCTCCCTCTCACGTAAGTATCATAAAGTTGGTAAGTCTGGGTAGGGACATGACACATCGAGAGCTGCCAGTCTCAGAGGTGGACCTGCCTTTGGTCGCAGCCAGTCCTTGTTCTCAAAGGGCGCCCCGGCTGCCTGCTGAGCCCATTTGGATTTCAAACCACAGAGTTGCATGTGTCTGTGTCACTGGGAAATATTTAAATTGAGCCTGATGGAACTGCCTCGTATTCAATGAAATCTTTGCTGGGGCTGGCTCTGGGGTCCTACAGCTCCAGAGGAAGCTTCCAATTTCCTCCCTGCGTGGTTACAGCCCAGCACTCACCAAGGTGCTGCTCACAGCAGTGCTTCAAGCTGACTGCTCTGCTCAGGCTTCCTGAACCCAACCCTGCAGTACTTCAGTGTGATTTGTGCTACAGTGTTTCCCACTCAAGAAAATCAAAGTATTTTACCACTTGAACATACTATGTATCCTCTCCTTTGTCTGCTTGGTGTTGGAGCCGAGGTGTGCGGTCACTCTGAGGTATTTGCACAGTTGGGGAAGGAGGAGAGCAATGAATTCATCTCAGTCCCAACCTAATCTGAGTTAATGTGCTGAGATCCCACTGGTGGAAAGCAAGGGCACTTGGCCACAGCCATGCCTTGATCCTTTAAGGATTTGAATCCCTGTTAAGCATGCTTGTCTTACAACCCGCACTCACGCAGGATGTAATCAGTTTTGTTTTCCATCTGTTAAACAAGAGGCTCCTGATTAGGCCCTGCAAACAGAAATAATTATTTTTGTTCTTGCTGACAACAACAGCAAGGTTAACCACCACATGCATATTTCATCATGTTTTCCACACTCAGCATTTTTAAACACCTTGTTCCGTGCAGGTTACATGATTTGCCTTACAACAGGCAGGGATTTGGCTTTCAGTATTGTCCCTTAATTAGAGTAATTGCCTAAGTGGAGATCCAGGCATCTCCCACTGTCCTGTAGGCAGAGCCCAGCCCGCAGCCGTGCAGCCGCCTGCCCCAGCTCATGGGCCTGGCGAGCCCTGTGGAGACACACACATGCTACAAAACCCGAAGGAAAAACATGCAGCAGTCAGTTTTCAAGAAAATATCTTGATTTTACAAAGTGACTCCAAGGGGCTGCTGGCAAAATGGAGCTGGGAGGTTCCCAAAGGCGGCCAGCAGAGCAGTGCGGTACTGTCCAAAGCAATGCTTATCTGATTTTCAAATGGATCTTTAGCATTTTAAATTTTTGATGATGCTAAATGGAAATACCCGTCAGAGGGCACTCATGAGGCTGGGCTGCTGTGGCGGGGAAGAAGTGATTCCTGAACATCCCCCTCCGTGACCCACCCCACCGCGTCCTGGGCTTGGGGTCATCCCAGTGCCTCCTTAGCTCTGACTTCAAGGCAAGATCACCCAGCGGGCACAGAGCTCTGCTTTTGGTGGCTTCAGTGAGGGGCAGGAGATCTACTTAAATCTGTTAATATTTGGTTTGTTTGTTCATTTATGTCTAAAGGTGGGTTTTGTGTTTCCAGAACCACATCTGACCAAGTGCTAAAATGGCTTCTCTTGCAGAGCGGTGCTTATAAACCTGAAATCCCAACTTTCGTGTTTGCACAAAAAAATGAGATGTTTAGGTCTAATACAAGCATCTGCCACTTCTGTAGAATCCAGAATACATTGGGTATTTTTTTTGGTTTTGTTTTCAAGTCACCTATTTAGCTGCTTACATATCTGGGGCTGTAACTTATTGATGAACTGTAGCTGGAAGGAGAGGAGAGGAGAGGAGAGGAGAGGCCTTCCTCGTGCACCCAGGCGGTGTCCCCAGCTGAAGCTGCACCACGCTCTGCACCCTGCTGTACGCTCTGAGAAGACCGTTTGCCTTGGTTCAGCCACCAGATCTGTTTTGTTCCCTCTAGGACAGGGATTCTTCACTTATGCAATAGCAATATCCTGCTCTGACAGGCAGCAGCTTGCTGGAGCGAGCGCTGGAGGCGCTGGGTGGCTGCTGCAGGGCCCCGGGTGCTGCTCGTGCAGGGTGCTGGGTGCTGGGAGCTGCCTCCCGGGGGGCTGTGGGGAGCACCCCCGGTGCTGGGAGCCAGCTCTTGGCGCTGGGGTGGGGAGGAATAGTTTTCTGCTGACATGGAACGGGCTGGAGCAAGGACTGGCAGGCAACTTTCACAGCGTTTCCACTCTTATGTAATCAGCTCGCTGTTATGCCACATAACCAAAACGTTTGGGAATAGGGAATTACGGTGTGTTGAGAGGTGCTTTATGAGTATACGGTTCCACTCCTTTGCTTTTTAAAAATGTATGGTGTCCTGTGTATAAAGACAGAAGGTGCACGCCACTTCTGTTCGTTGACTTGGCTTCCCTAGAACAAATTGTACTGGGATAAGAAAGTAGGTTTGCTTGGTTTGTTCCTCACAGGATCACATTCTGCCCTCCACCTGTGATGAGACGGTTTTCTCAGTGGCAGCAAAACCAGATGCATTCGTATGTCGTGCAGGAGGCTTCTGAGCCAGGAGAGGTTGGGGCCTGCTGAATGTAGGAAGCAAGGACCTGAGGGGCAAAATGAACATTGCTCCCGGCCCTGCATGCTCACGGTGTGGCATCCCCTCAGTCCCAGCTCTTCTCAGCCCCTTCAGATTTTCCCCAGCTGATGACCAGAAAAGCACTTTAAGGTCATCCCCTAAGGAGAAATCTTAGCATGTTAACAGCAGCTCCAAAGTCAAAGAAAGCTGAAGGTGAAGAATGATTTTGCTAACGTAAATGTTATCCTTTTGCTGCTGTGAATTAGGGAGAGAGGTGTTAGTGATGCTCGATGCCTGTCCTGGCTGCGTTTTCTGGGGTCCTAACTCTTCCCATACATAGATTAATTGCAAAAAACAGGAGAAATGTTTCATGTATATATTAAAGTTGTTTGTTCAGGCCATTCTACTGATAAGGGAACAAGAATTAACCCTTTAGAAAGGCACAGACTTTTTTTTTCATATTTGTTCTGCAACCTGTTTCGCAGAGGCAAGTGCACTCAACTCACTTATGCTGGCTAAAGAACGAAATCAAATCCAACTACTTGTTGGAGCTACGTTCTTCAGGCTGTATTTAATTGATAGGTTGTGGGTAGAAAATAAAACTGTCTAAAACTTAGAAATTTACCTTAAGTTGCTTTTTGCTGAAGTGAATTAAATAAACAAGTTTCTGAACATAGTAATAATCTCCTCCTCCCCGCTTTTTTCTCTCTCTTTTTTTTTTTCTTTTTCTTTTTTTTCCCAGAAAATGGCTGTTCCACCTGCTTATGCTGATCTGGGCAAATCTGCCAGAGATGTTTTCACCAAAGGATATGGTAAATAAATCCCAAATAAGTTTGATCTTTCACTGTCTACCCGATTCCTGAAACTGCTATGATGTTACTGTTTTTCTCTGATAAACATTCCAGCTATTTCCTTAGAATCCAGAGAATTTTATATCCTAGTTTCACATTACCACTGCTGTCTGGAAAGGGAGGGTGATTTATTCCTGTTTTGACAAAATTCTTCATGTTCCCCATAGGTCTGTTGTCTGTTTCGAAGGAAAATTGAGTGTT